ATCATTTTAAAATATATTTGAATTATATATTCTACTTATTTTTTATGAGGAAAGGCAAAGGAAAAACACAAAGCAATATCAAAAGAGACAGAAAAGGCTATCCCTTTTGGCAAAGGAAAGGAATATGCAAATCCCGTAGTATGGTTTCTCAACATTTTTAAAAAGTTTGTTTTTCGAATATTTATTAATTTTTTTCATATAGATTTTTGTGAGAATTGCGTAGTGTCATATACTTTTTTTATGTATATTTTTATGAGTTATTGTTTTTAAAATATTTATTCAATTGTTTTGACTAATTGTAAAATATTTTTCTAAATCATGTTAAAGTAAGCATTTGTACAACATGTTAATGCATTTGTCTGAACATTAATTTGAACACATGTTGCATTTACAACATATCATAATAAACATATAAGAGAGGAAAACGAAAAATGAAATGAAGTTTTTAATTATAGAATATAGATTTTTTAAAATTTTAATTTTACTTATAATATAATGGAAAGAATACGAAAAACGAAGAGGGAAGCGGAAACAAGAAAGCATTACACACTAATATTCACATTGTACATACTCAATGATCTAATGTTTATCTTTTCAACGTAGGACAAAAAAGATGAGTGTAATTAGCAACAGGAGTGTGGTCTCTAAAAAAAAAATAAAGCCACGCAGAATTATTGGAGGTGTATGGGAGGTTGGTTAATTTAGTAAGTTATTTTAATTTTTTGGTTACTTTAGTAGGTTAAAATAATTATGTTTAGCAAGATTGTTCAATTTTTTTATATAATTAGATATGATGTATATGAGGAAAAAAAAATGCAAAATGATTAAATACATTTTTAACTTATTTTTTCTTGGGCAAATTACATATACCTCCCTCGAGGTTTAGCTAAATTACAGATACCCCCTAAGGTTTCAGAAATTATAGATACCCCCCTAAGGTTTATATTTTTATAACAAATTGCCCCGTGAAGTTTATATTTTCATAACAAATTGTCCTCTAATTTGTTATGAAAATATAACCTTCAAGGGGGTATCTATAATTTCTCAAACCTCAGGGGGGTATTTGTAATTTTGCTAAACCTCAAGGGGGTATATGTAATTTGCCCTTTTTTCTTTTAATATTATTTTAATCAAAAAAATATTTAAATACATACGACTCAAAAAATGTTTGAGGTGACATTGTTTAAATACATTATAGATATATATATATATAGATTTTTTTGATAAATACCCTAAAGTTTATATATGATTCGACTCAAACCACATTTTAAAATTTTAAAAATGTGTTAACATGCGATTTTAAATTCTATACTTTTTTTAGATGGTGAAATTCTATAAAAAATTCAAATATGAATTAATATTTTAACTTAAACTTTTAGCAATGAATTTGATAAATTACATTTTAACTTAAACGAACCGCCATCGTACGATACCTGCTGAAGTCACGGCCGACGGTGGTGTTGCTGTAGATGGTGGAGGAAGTCTTATGTGTGGAGTTTTATATTGCAGTGAAATTATTATCATCTTGAATTGATTTATTATAATTGATTTCTGTAGCAATGAAATTATTATCATTTTGAATTAATTTTTTTGTAAAGGATGTGATACCAATATTAATAATTTATGTTAATTGATTTTTATAGAATATGTGTAGCAATATTATTTACACCGTGCCTTTAGGCACTGGTATACACTAGATGGATAGTGTCTTTTTGGCATTTGGTGAAATTCCATGAGTTTTTTTCCCCCCCCCCCCCTTTTTAAATTTTATCAATACACGCATTGGTTCTTATGTGACTAACAACTCAACCAAGCGAAGAAGAAAAGTTAGTTAAACTTTTGAGAACAAATAGATGATAAAAGGGAAGCAAGAGATGGGACAATCTTCACATTTTATGCACCTAATTATATAATATTCTCATTTTAGGCACACAATGATAATGTGTTATCAAAAGCTGCATTGGCTCAACGTGCACAGCGAGAATGTGAAAAAAAATCAAAACTCATGTTCTGCATACCAATTAGGACAACGCCTGCAACGAGAACGAGAGAGATCAAATGAATGTAACCCAAGACAAACTTCTCTAACACCCAATTGGTAAACAACTCTGTTTAATTCTTGAAATATATACTCTTACTATTACCACTTTATTATACAGATATTAATTTATTCACAATTCATTTTTGTAGGCCTGCTCCTACAACCCGATCTAGAAATGTTGGTGTGGTCATCCGTGATGAGCACGACCTTAATGTTATTTGTGTTCATGCGGTAAGTATAAAATCAAGTAAAACATTGTATGTATTTTTATTTATATAAATTTTTTTTAAATCTTTTGAATATTTTATTTATATTTGTTAGGCAAAAGAAAAAGAAAAAGTCAACCCAATGTCTAAGGGAAAAGAAAAGGGAAAAGGTGGCTCCTTCTGACAAGAGAATGACAAATGCATGTCAAGTGGTATATACTCCTTTTAAAAAATATGAAGCAAAACTATGTGAATTTGTTGCTTTATGTTGTTTTTGTAGAATGATTGTAATATATTTTCCTATAATTTTCTATTATTTGTATGTGTTTTCCAAATTTATTTATTTTTATTTAGCATAGATACATGTGCATTTATAATGTACCATATGAAAAGAATAGGAAAAACGAAACGAAGAAATAAAGACAAACTATGTAATGAAAGAATAAACTAAATAGGATATATTTTTATTTCTTCTTTATTTTTTTGATAAAAAACAAAATGCATAAAGAAAGAAATAAATACTGATAACATTATTAAAGGTATAAAACAAATAAAATATAAAACAAAATTAAGAGAAACAAAATAAAAAAGAAGATATTTCATGTTAAGTACAAAATATTCACATATTTTGCACCAATGACAAAATATTTTCATTTTAGGCACAAAATGACAATGTAATATCAAAAGCTGCATTGGCCCAACATGCACGACAAAAACGTGAAAAAAAATGAAAATTCATACTTTCAATGCTCGCAACGAGAACAAGAGAGATTAGAAGAATGTATTCAACCAATACAACTCTTTAGCACCAAATCGTCACAATCGCGCTTGCCTGGAATGGGAAACAATAACTGAAGATTCTCATTCGGCACAAAAACAAACAATGGTTGCCCATTATTCTACATGTTCGTTTTCTATGCCAAGCACATCTTTACCTCCACAAAGGAATCGGTAAACTACTATGTCTAATCTTGAAATACATATTCTTACCATTTTGTTTTATAGAATTTTATTTATACACAAATATTCGTAGGTCTACTTCTGTAAATCAATTTCTTCAAGAAGATCTATGTACTGATGATGAATTAGAAGATATGCCTATGAGTACATCAATTGATGCCCAAGCACACAACAATTCTTGCCGCCATTATCTTGGCAAGATGGATGTATTATGTCCTTATTGTTCAGCCTTACATTGGATGGATGAAAAATTGACCAAATCATCTATAAAGCATCCCTTATTCGAAACTTGCTGTTTGGAAGGGAAGATTAGGCTACCTTTACTTATTACACCTCCTCCATCACTTCAAGCGTTGTATGACGGGAATAATGATCAATCAAAATCCTTTTGAAGTTATACTCGATTGTACAATGCAGCCAATGCTTTTACGAGTCTTGGTGCTACACTGGATCCTAGAGTACTTAGTGGAAGGGGTCCTACATCATTAACAATTCATGGGGAATTACGACATCGAACAGGATCACTACAACCACAACCAAGGCAGGATGCGAGTTATGCTTAACTGTATATCTATGACCCTGATTCAGCGTTAGAAATTCGTAATCGTAGAAATCCTAACTTGAGAAGGGATGTGCTCAAAACTATTCAGGATAGTTTGTTGCAAGTCAATGCATTTGTAGCTACATTTCTCCAGGCTCATGCCATTTTACATCAATTAGACACGGCAGGACACAATCTACATGCTCAACTTCATTACAATTCAACAACTGATCGACATCGGTATAACTTACCAACTGCGAATGAGATTGCGATTGTAATACCAGGTGATGGAACAGAGGTAAGTGGAATGAGAGATATTATCTTACATTTCCAAGGAAATAATGAGTTGATGCAAATTAATAAATGTCACCCAGCATACTTGCCATTATATTATGTTCTATTATTTCCATATGGTGAGCTTGGATGGAAACCTGAGTTGAAATCGTGGAACATTCAATATGATCGACCTTCAACTGATCGACTTACTCAAATGGATTTTTATAGTTATCGTTTGTTTGAACGACCCACAGAGTATTCAACTATTTTGAGAGGTGGGAAACTATTTCAAGAGTTTTTGGTAGATGCTTGGGCCACAACTGAGCAAAATCGATTGACATACTACAAGCTTAATTAAGGAAAACTTCGGGTTGATGTTTACCAAGAGTTGTCAGATATTGATCCAAATTATGTACGACCTGGTCAAATTGGTCAAAGGTTTATTTTGCCATCTTCATTTACTAGTAGTCCTAGACATATGTTTGAAATCTTTCAAGATTCAATGGCTATCATGCGATACAACCAACACCCAGATATTTTTCTTACCATGACTGCAAATCCTAATTGGCCAGAAATTACTTCAGCATTATTATCACATCAAAAACCTATTGATCGTCCTGATTTAATTGCCCGTGTTTTTGAGTTGAAGAGAAAATGTTTGATAAAGGAGATAGAAACAAATAAAGTGTTTGGAAATAAAGTTGCACGTGTTTTTACAATTGAATTTCAAAAATGAGGCCTCCCCCATATGCATACACTTTTATTTCTTAAGGGTCCAAACAAAATTCGGACATGTGCTCAAGTAGACAAATTGGTCTGTGCAGAATTTTCAGACCAAAAAGATGATCCTATGCTTTTTGAAATTGTCAAATGTTGTATGGTACATGGACCATGTGGTGCTCAAAATCCGCATGTACCATGTATGGAAAATGGTAGATGCAATAAGAGATACACTCGAGCTTTCACAGAAACAACTATGGATAAAGATGGATACTCTATCTATCGTCGTCGCAATAATGGCCAAGTACATACTGTGAGGGGGCAAGAAGTTGATAACAGGGATGTCGTACCATATAATGCATATCTTTCTAAACTTTTCAACTGTCATATAAATGTGGAAGTTTGTGCCGGAATGAGATGTGTCAAGTATATACATAAGTACATTTACAAGGGTTATGATCGTACAATGATGGTGTTGGGATCGATAAATGAGATTCAACAATATCTTGATGCAAGGTATATTGGACCTCCAGAAGCTGCTTGGCGAATATTTGTTCATCCTTTGCATGTAGAGATACCAACAGCTGTACGATTGGCACTTCATTTACCTGGAATACATCGCGTTGTTTTTAACCCAGAAGAGTCATTAGAAACAATTCAATCTAGAGCTGGTCAACAAATGTCAACTCTTACTGGCTTCTTTGTATATTGTGCTGCCAGTGAAGATGAATGTCCATTCACTTATCAAGAATTTCCACAGCATTTTGTATGGCTCAAGTCAGAAAAGAGATGGAAATCAAGAGAAAGATGATATGCAATTGGTAAAATGTACTTTGCCAGTCCTAATTGTGGTGAAAGATTTTATCTGCGTTTGTTATTAACTGTTGTCAAAGGACCAAAGTCGTTTCGGTCTTTATGCACGGTCGATAATGTTGTGCATGATACATTTAAATTAGCATGTGTTGCAAGGGGGCTTTTAGAAGATGATGAAGAATGGATACAATGCTTGAAAGAGGCTGCAATTATGAAAACTGGATACCAATTGAGGAGATTGTTTAGTATTATTCTCACCCAGTGCTCTTCACTAAATCCATGTGCATTATGGAATCAATTCTCAACGCATATATGTGATGATCTTGCACATAAGATTCGTACATTGTTTGCCATTTCTAACCCAACTAAGGCTCAAATTGAAGATTATGGTGTCTATCTTTTGAATCAAATGCTTCATGAATCAGGAAAATGTTTAATTGACTTCCCACCCACGCCACAACCTACTGCAAATTGGAGTGTAGTAGTTGGTAATCGATTGATATTCAAACATCAACAACTGCAGAATGAGGCACAACAGGCAGATCCACAAATTACTATTGATTGTCTCAACAATGGACAACGGAATGCTTATAACACAATCACTTCTTCAATTTTTCAAATAAAGGAATTGTTTTCTTTCTTAATGGGGGTGCTGGAACAGGGAAAACATTTCTATACAATACGATTGCATTAAAATGTCGCAGCCTTGGGCATATCGTTGTTACTGTGGCTTCATCTGGAATTGCATCATTATTATTGGTAGGAGGTCGCACTACACATTCAACATTTTCCATTCCGTTAGATGTCTTGGAAAATTCACTTTCTGGGTTTACCAAACAATCATTACAAGCTGAGTTGTTTAGAGAAACAAAACTCATAATTTGGGATGAAGTTCCTATGCAATATAGACATTGTGTTGAGGCGGTTGATCGTACATTGAGGGATATTTGTGATAGTGAAAAGCCATTTGGGGGTATTACTGTTGTTCTTGGTGGAGACTTTCGACAAACCTTACCAGTTATACCCAAAGGAATTCGTGAGCAAATTGTGAATGCATCATTAAGACACTCCTTTATATGGAATCATATACATATCTTAACTTTGGATTTGAATATGCGCTTGAATCATGGAGACCATGAAAATGCTATTTTCGTAAATTTCTTGATGGAGGTAACACTACTTTAACATTTTTCTTTATTATATAGATTATTTTAAATTAATAAATTGTGTTTACACTCATATTTTTTTAATTAATTTCACTTTTTTTAGATTGGGACTAATCCTTAGGAAATCATCAACCTTCCATCAACAATACACAAATGTCAAGATTTGAATGAATTGCTCTCTACAGCTTACCCACAGTTGAATATGATAGAGACGTCGACCCCAACATTTTTAACTGAACGCACCATTCTATCTACGCGTAACGATGATGTCAGTGACATTAATACTACTGCGTTGAATATCTTTCCAGGGAGATTATATGCTGATTTTGCGGCAGATAAAATGTCTGAAGATAATGGAATTGATCCTACCATTACAAATAGATATCCTAATGAATATTTAAATTCATTGGATCCTCCCGGGCTACCAACTTTTAAGTTAGAGTTGAAAGTGGGTTGTCCTATAATATTGTTAAGAAATATTGCACCGAAAGATGAACTATGTAATGGTACAAGATTGTGGTTACTAGGTGTGACACTCGCATAATTGAAGCTCAAATTTTAACTGGAGAAAAGTTTGGCAATTTGACATTCATACCAAGGATATCTTTGACACCATCTTCTTCAGAAATGCCTTTCCAAATGACAATACGTCAATTTCCAGTCTGATTAGCATATGCCTTGACCATTAATAAATCTCAAGGACAATCTGTGAAATTTGTTGGGGTTGATTGCACATACCAGTGTTTAGCCATGGCCAATTATATGTGGCATTGTCCAGATGTACATACTTTGATCGTATAAGTATTCTCCTCCCTAAAGATAGTTTGGATTCTACTACAAATATTGCCTATCCTGAAGTGCTGTTGTAGTGTTTCAAGTTCATTAAATCATGTTTTATCAAAAGGTAACCGTGTAGATTTATTTATATTGATTATATATATAGATTTTTTTTATAAAATTTCAATCTAATAATAATTGGAAATAGGGATTTTTTTAGGATTGGATCGAAAAATTTATGGAGCTTAAAAGGAGAAATACAACTAGCTTGCTTCGATGGGGATGTAATAAGGTAATTTCAATCTTAAAGTATTTTGATATGTATATTTCCAACAAATATACCAATCTATATATATATATATATATTTTGTTTCCACAAATTACCAGATTATTGTGCATGTTCCTCATTGGGGATACATACAAGTTGATACAAAGACTTTTTCGAAAGTAATGAGGAGGAAATTTGGGAAAACACATATTTGAAGACATGTTATTGACACATCTTCTGTAAAGCATACATATTCTGGAAAGCTTCAACCCACTTTTTTTTATATAAAGTTTTAACTCACTCTTTTGGCGTATGACGATATAATGTTTGTTTTTCTTATGTAGTTAGAATTTGATTGGCAACAGTAATACTAACTGGTGTGCATTTTAATTTTAATTTCTTTTAAATTGCAGAGTACTGGCTGGTGTGCATTATTTGATATTTAATTTTTTTTTATATTTGATTTGTTTGGAATTGTAGAGTGTAGTCTATTAAATATATTTTTATAATTGCATTTTAATCTTAAATTTAAATAGTGTTGCGATTACAATTATATTATAATCCTAACATTATTTACACCGTGCCTTCAGGCACGAGCATACGCTAATATATATATATAAAACACCTCTTTTTTTATATAACAAATATAAATATATAAATATTTAGATTAATTATATATAATTAAATAATACATTAAATTAATTAAATACCACATTAAATTCTCATGTAGCCACATAATTAATAAAGCCAAAAATAAAATAAAATAAAGTAATAATAATAAATAATAACTTACGAAAAATCAGGGTCGGTACATGGTTGGTCATTTGACCTAACCGATTAGGGCTGAATCATTTTGGATTTGACTGATTCATTAGTTTAATCGCGGTTTCTCATATTGATTTTATTAATTTTAAACAATAAAAAAAATTTCCATTGGCTAACTTTCATTTAACCATATAAAAATAAAACTCTAATTAGTTTATGATTTATTTTATAATCCCACATCGGGAGAAGAAGAAAAAAAAGAGTTTGTTTTACTATTGTCTATATATTATATGAGGAAAATGAGATTTTTAGGGAGAAACCTTCTAAGAGCTTCAAACCCTTATTCTAAAATTATTAAATTTTCTTAATTTCAAACAATTAAGACATCTCTTTTACACCACATCGCAAAAAAAAAAAAAAGAAAGAAAGAAAGAAAGAAAAAAAAAGAGAGAGAGAGAGAAAAGAAAGTGAATTGTTTCACTTACTTAAGTGAATCTTATGCTCTTCTATACTATATATTAAGTAAAAGGGGGTTTTTAACCCCAAGGCTTGTGTGAGCTCCAATCTCCCAATCTAAATTTCTTAATTTTTTGATTTAAAAAAAAAAAAACCTTAGCATTTATTAACTTATCCCAACCCCCAAGTCTTACCCTCATAATAACACTTTAATGCATTAAGAACAAGCATAAAAAAATTCTTTAAAATCCAACACATATGAATTCCTTGAAAAGTCCCAACAGATATGATTATTATCCCCCATAATAACACTTTAATGCATTAAGAACAAGCATAAAAAAAATTTCTTGAAAAGTCCAACACATATGATTATTATCAAAATATTAAACTTTAATTGAAAAGTCCAACACATATGATTATTATCAAAATATTAAACTTTAATATAATATAAAAAAAAAAAGAAATTTAAAAAAAAAGGGAAAAAATACATTTAAAAATCGCAATTCACATATATAGATAATTGTAAATATATTAAGAAAAATGGGGTTTCTAAACCCCCAGCCTTGTGAGAGCTCAAATCTTTCAATTTTAATTTTCTAAATTTTTTATTTTAAAAAAAAAATCAGCATTTATTGATTTGATCAAAATCCCTTGATCATCATTTATTAACTTTTTCCAATCCACATGCTTGCATTTATTGATTTAGTCAAAATCTCTGATTAGCATTTAAAATCCCCTCATACAAATAATTATAGATACAGCCCGTACATAGCCACTGCAGTATCCTTTTTAATTTCTCCTGTACACTATGATTAGTGATAAGATTGTTAAATTATTTTTATAAAAAATCTTAAAAAACATAATTTATATATTAAAAAAAATATAAACATATATAATTATCCCGTGCATAGCACGAGTGATAGGCTAGTATTTATATAAGCAAAAGGAGATTTTTACTGAGAAGCCCTATGATCAATATCTCATACTTATTTTTTTGATTTTCTTAATTTTAAACAATTAAGAAAATCCCCATTGGCTAGCTTCTATTTGACTTTTATTTTACAATCTCACATAATTTTGATTTTAAAGATAATTTTGTATGTGATTTTGAAACTTTCATAACATTTAACTTTAAATAATTACAATCTCACATCGAGAAAATTAAAAAAAAAAAAAAGGTGAGTCGTTTCACTTATATAAAGAGTTACAATCCCACATCGGGAAAAACAAGAAAAAGTAAGTTGTTTCATTTATATAAAATGAATCTTATAAAGAGAGTTTTATGCGTGAAGCCTTCTAGAAGCTCTAAACCTTCATTCTAAAATTATTGAATTTTCTTAATTTTAAACAATTAAGAAAATTCTCATTGGATAGCTTCTATTTACCTTTTATTTTACAATCTCAAATCGGGAGAAAAAAAAAAAAAAAAAAAAAGTGAATTATTTTATTTACATAAAGTGAATCTTATGCTCTAATTTATATAAATTATTGAAATTTGTTAATTTTAAACAATTAAAACAATCCACATTGGTTAGCTTCCATTTAACTTTTATTTTACAATCCCACATCGGGAAAAAAAGAACAAAATAAATTGTTTTACCTATATAAAGTGAATCTTATGCTCTCATTTATATAAACAAAGGAAGATTTTTATTGAGAACCCCTATAATCAATACCATTTTTTTTTTTTTCTTAATTTTAAACAATTAAGAAAATCTCCATTAATTGATTAGCTTCCATTTAACTTTTATTTTACAATCTCACATAAACATTTTGATTTTAAAAATAATTTTTTATGAGATTTCGAAACTCTCATAATATTTAACTTCCAAATAATTACAATCCCACATCGAGAAAAGAAATAAAAGGTGATTTGTTTCATTTATATATAAGTGAATCTTATACTCTCATTTAATATTATAGTATTGTGCATGTTTCAGTTCAAGATAGTTTAAATTTTAAATGTTTTAATTAATTAATTTTGTTGTAAATTGATTAGTCTTTGGACTTAGCCCAATTTTAGCTGTTTTATCAAAATACATTGCTTAAATTTGTTTGATTTCAAATAAATTAAAATTGTCCTTATTAAAAATTGAACGACTGAGATTGTTTGGTTATAAATGAGCTTTCCGTCCAAACAACTGTTAACTTTATTTTACAGTCACACATCAGGAAAATGAGAAAAAAATGAGTTGTTTTACTCTAAAAACCTTATGCTTCCATGTAATATTGTCATGTTGTGTATGTTTCAGTTCAAGACAGTTTAAATTTTAAAATTAAAATAAAATTTAAAAGTTTTAATTAATTAATTTTTAGATAAATTGGTTGGTCCTTTGACCTAGCCGATTGGGTGAATCGTTCTCGGTTTGACTGATTTGCTAGTTCAATTGCGATTTTAGCGGCTTTATTAAAATATATTGGTTAAATTTGTTTTATTCGAAATAAATTAAAGATTGACCTAATTAAAGATTAAACGGCTAAGATTGCTTGATTCGAAATAAACTTCTCACCCAAACAATTGTTAACTTTTAAACAATTAAGAAAATTTTGATTGGCTAGATTTCATTTAACTTTTATTTTATAATCCCACATCGAGAAAAGAAGGAAAAAGTGAATTGTTTCACTTATATAAAGTGAATCTTATACTCACATTTATATAAGCAAAATGAGATATTTAGTGAAAAGCCTTATGATCAATATCTCATACTAATTTTTTTGATTTTCTTAATTTTAAACAATTAAGAAATCCCGATTAGCTAGCTTTCATATGACTTTTATTTTAAAAAATATAAAAAAATTAAATATAATTATCATATTTTTACTAAATAATATATTATTTTATCCCGTGCATAGCACGGGTGATATGGTAGTCTGATTATATAAGGAAAAGGGGCTTTCTAGTGAAAAGGCTTGTGAGAATTTTAAAGTCTCATCCAAATTTTCTTAATTTATTTAATTTTAAACAATTAAAAAAACTCTATTGGTTAATTTTTATTTGATAATCTCACATCGAAAAAAGAAAAAAAAAATAAGTTGTTTTACTCATACAAAGAAAATCTTATACTCCCATCCCATTTAACAAGGAGCCTTATGAGAGTTTCAATATCTCATACTAAATTTCTTGATTATCTTAATTTTAAACAATTAAAAAAATAATTAAGAACATCTCCATTGACTAACTTTTATTTGATAATCCCACATCAAGAAGAAAAAAAAAAATGAGTTGTTTTGCTCATATAGAAGGGAATTTTATACTCCCATCCCATTTAATGAGGAGCCTTGTGAGAGTTTCAATATCTCATACTAATTTTCTTAATTTTAAACAACTAAGAAAATCTCCATCGGCTAACTTTTATTTGATAATCCCATATTGGGAAAAAAGGGGAAAAATGGTCTTGAATGATGAATTTTTTTGTCTCCAAAGAGCTAATTTCGTCATTATAGATATTTGTGAAGAAATATTTTTCTCACCAGTTTTGTCATTGAATGTTTGTCATTAAAAATCGCCGTGAGGAAAAATAATTTTGTCTCCAATTAAATTACTTTAGCGACGAAATTTTTTGTCACCAATAAGACAACATTTTATCACCAAAAATCATCATTTTCGTCACCAAATAGTTGTCCAGTACTGTATATATAACTTTAGTTGACAAATAAATTTGTCACATATTGATCATTAATGAGGAAATAATTTCGTCACAATAACATGCAAAGTTGAAATTTTTCATCTCCAAAAGTCAAACATATGTGACGAAATATATTTCATTACAAATATATATATAAGTGACGAAATTTTTAGTCACGAAACAACAAAATCAATAAAAACTTTCACATATAAGCAACTATAAATTTTATCACAAAAAATATTTATTAGCGACAAATAATCACTTTGTCATAATAACAAGTACATATGATGAAAAAAATCGTCACTAAACTTGTTCCATATTTTATATTTCAATTTAAATTATTATTTTACAAATATCCCTGCTCATATCTCAATAACCTTCTTAATGTATTAAGAAATCCACTAGTTATTATACACCACTCCACACAAAAAATTCGCTAAACTATTTATATTATAAACCAAAATATATCCATCAAACAAATTTAATAACGATTCATTAACTATAACAAAGAAGATCACAACAAATCCCAAAATGAACTAAGTATCAGTCCAAAAAAATAAAATCAACACTTGATCTTGAGTTGCAAGTAGAATTAAGTGTCCATCCATAAAATAAATAAAAGAAACTAACACTTGATCTTGATTTGCAAGTATGCTTCCAAAAGTCATCAAAAATCAATCTGCAAAAAAAAAAAAAAAAAAAAAAAACATTAATATATTATCAATTACATATAAACTCATATAAATAATTTTATATATGAGTATACCAATTTAGCAAAAACACATTTTCTACCAAAACTTGACTTTCATATGTACTAAATCACAAATCAACAGCTAATCTAATTGGGGACAAGTTCTTGTAAGTTACATGAACGCCTATGAACCTGCCAATATTGAAAACAATCAAGCAGCATGATGACTTTTATTGTCATATAGAATGGTTCAATGAAACTTGGGTCTTTCTTGTACTAACTCCAATTTTTTCCACAAATTTCACTATCTACCATCGGATGTCCCTTTGATACAATTTCACTATCTCACTCACTGTTTCTCCAACTTTGCTTAGAAAGAAATGAGAAATACCGATATGGTTTGATTGTTTTTAACGGGTTTTCAATTTCACAAAATTCGAACTAAGAAAGATCGGCATAAACAATATGAAACTAAGTGTTTCAGTATCTTATGATCATTTTCAACGTTTCAATGTTTGTACTAGCAATTTAACAATGTTGCAAAGTTTCTCTTGATTTTAGACCCTTCAGCAAGTGCTGATCTAGCTATGGTGATAATGCAGAAGGGATTGGCACATAGGTTCCTTATTGGTAAAAGGTAGCCTAATTGAGTTCGAAAGTGTAACTTTCTTAAACAGTTGTGCTTTAACTAATATATACTAACCAACATGAGAAAAATGAAAAGATAAAGCAAGATGGACTTACCAAAAAGGCGATCTACGAGTCATGGGATGCCCCCTCCCCTAAATTGCCCGTTGAAACCTTGTTTCTTAAGAAACTCCATGATACTTGACATTATCTCCAAATGCTCCTCACTCAACTCATTCATCTTTGCTATCACATAATTTTGTGCTTGAATTCATGTTTCTATGTTGTAATTTCCTTTTTTTGTGACTGAATTTCCTCCTTTTGCCTTGTATTTTCATCTCCAGACGCCTTACATAGTCAGAGTCAGTAGAAGCAGTGGTAGTCCTGACCAAGGATGAAGGCCTCAAACCAAGTCCTTTAACATATCCCGACCTTCACTTGAGCACCTTCACAGATAGCTCCTCTGGAGTAATTGGAACCACACCAGGTTCGGAGCAATGTGCATCCTGGAACTTTATCATATTGTCCTACCATTTTGAAATAAATAGAATAATGAATAAAGATACAACAAAAATTGCAATCATCCTAACACAAAAAGTAAATATAAGTAGATAATATTGATTGGTTAGTAAGATGGTACGCAAAACACCTAAGCAACGCCAGCACAAAAGTAGCAGACAGCACAATAGGAGCAGCATAGAAATTGGCAAACAAAGGAGAAGCCTCCAACCTGTTAAAGCACCACATATACAAGCACATGAGGGGCTATTCCTATAAATTACAAGGGTCCAAATACATTATATTTTGTACAATATTTACATAAACTTTTCATCTTCATCATCATGTTTTCTTCAGATGTGCTCTTGGAAGGTAAAAACATTAAGAACTTTCCATCAAGGTGGCAGATGATCTAATTATTTTCATAGAGATTTATCTTCTCTATTAGATTTGACCAAAAAATAGAGGAAACAAAGCTTCTCTTTTAGAATCAAATCTATCATACATTTCATAATATTTTCAACTTTCATTTTTGTTTTTTACAAGTACAACTTTCAGCTGAATCATGTTTTTCCCTTGTGAGAAAGTTGTGCAATATTAAAGCTAGAGAAGTAAAAATAAGAGAAGGATGATTAAGGTCAAATCAACTCTAAGAAAAATAACCAGGTAAATACATCCCTTCTAGACTGAACAGAGATTGGATCAAATCAAATCTGGATCAAGTTTTCAAATAAGAGAAAAATAGAATAAATACTTTATATTTTTTTTAATTAAGTCAGCAATACACATGAGAGAAAAAACAATGATCACTAAAAGCAATTTTGTTCTTGAGCATCACCACCATGCAGAAAAAACAAGAGCAACAGACATCAAGTTTTTTGGGAGAAACAACATCAAAGAATTTGGAGCTAATTTCTCGTACAAATGCCAATCACCAACCAAAGCTAAACCAAAACCAGATAAGATAAAACCAAAGAATTTGGTGAGTTCGTCATTTTAATCCATTATATCTGCTACCATGTCATTGAACTTGGTTTCTAAATTTGATCACTTCTCTAAGGCTTACTTGAGCTAGAGCTTTTTCAGTAATTGTTCACGTTGGTTGTTATGCTTCTAGAAGGTATTTAAGGATTTGGAAGCTGGAGTTGTTTATGCTCTGATTTTTTAATAATTATCACTAAATAAGATATATCATATGATGATTCATATAAATAGTAATATAAAAAGATAATGAAAAATTAATAACATATAACATTGCTAAAAAAAAAAACCAACTAAAATACTTTGATGTTTTTTCAAAAAATAGCATACCTCAATGACAAAAAATAAAAAACAACAAAATGTCATCGTGTCCAAGTTTTCGCCATACATTTTACATAGTAAACATGGCCATTCTCTTGATGTTAATCACTGAATTTCTGTTGATCAACTAATGCAGAGGAAAACTAAAATTACCTAATCTCATAAATTACCTAAATTCATACATAGCTATAAATTATAAGCACTTGATTCATGTTGTGAGTAGTGATCATGGCTGTGATCTTATGGGTACATAAATGACATCTTCCATGCAATTAATCCAATAGGTGACACCTTAGCCAGAGGAAGAAAGGATGGTCCAGATTTGAGAACTTCAGTTGAAAGCCATAGACTCCCTGGCACAGTTCTTTTACCATTTTGAATATTGATTGTCCATATGACCAAGGGACACTACCCATCTTGACTATGTCCTATCATGATGTTGCCACATGCCATCCAAAGGGAAATTCCAGCACATTAGTACCTTTGCTCTCTTTCCCTCTGTCTCTAGAAGTGCTTATAAGAGGGAAGGGGACAAACATACCAACAGCACCCAGAAAAAGAATATATACATATAAACAATAAGGCTTTGTTGGATTAGACTACAATAAATAATAAGGATTTTTTGTGAGGAACTATGTAAGTGGTCTGGAATCCTAAACAATTCAAGAAAAAAGGGAATTAGATGCCAGAGTTTAAAAATTAGACGGCAATCTTCCTTGGCCAAATGACTTGATAGTCACCAATGCCACATAGTCCTAATAATTCAATTAATAATTAGATAATTAGATTTTGTTTGTGTTAAGTATAACATTACTGTAACTAGATGTTGCCTTGACCATATTTTGTTGCATATCCAACATCAATTTATTATGGTTTACAAGAAGAGACTGTTGTATATGATGGAATAAGAAGAGACAGAAAGACATTCCCATGCTACTTGAATCACTCCAAAAGACCAAAACAATCAAAATTGGCATCCCTTATGGAGTCCATAAGAACAACACATTCATGAGATCACGGGTTTTCAGAAAAGAAATTCAGAACCTTCATGGCTTTAATCCAAGCCAACTCACAACTGCAAAGTTCCCACAACACAACAAATTAGGCTTATGGACCATCTTTTTTTTCTTTTTTTTTTTTTGAGTCTCTACATCATTAAATTCTCTACAATCCTACATACACAGAATTTTTACTAAAAAATTTCAATGTATGGTTCGAATTCATTGCTTCAACATACAAAAGTTAAATTCCAACCGTACATTACTAATTTTGGGAATAAAATTCTGAGCATAAATTCTCGGTGTTTGGATTTTTTGTTAAATTATGTGGGTGGGGGGTAATGCAGAACACAGTAGCGCATGAGGATGGATTAGCAGGAGGGTAAGCAGTGGTGCTAAGGATATCAGGGACTAAGCTGCATTTTATAACTGCAGTTTTTATGGTGCTCAAGACACCCTTTATGATCACAAGGGCCTTCACTATTTCAATAATTGCTTCATCCAAGGCTCTGTTGATTTCATTTTTGGCTATGGCCAATCCCTTTATAAGGTCAATCAGTCTTATTCCACTCTCTTTTTTCCATAGGAAACTTGATATGCCTTACCCAAACTTACCTAAAGTCACACATGAAATTGTATCCTAATTGATCATCAAAACAAGTTGAAAATGAAAAATCAAATATTTCTTGCAAATTTGATTTACAAATGGCTTCTACAACTTTTTTATGTTGAAAATGATACACAATAACCTCATTTGGAATGCTATTTCAAATGTATTTCTCAATAGACACAACCATGCTATCATAAATTTTTTGGTCACCCATTCAATTCACAAAAAAATAGCAGAAAATGCCCCCTCTACTATGGTAGTCCTCCTGACAAGTAACAAAGATAGGCACTTCTAAATTACCACTACTTAAACTGTCTAATTGCTCTCAATTACTATATTCAAACTGAAAATATATGCAAAATACAAGATGCCCATAAAGAACCAATAACATGGCAAGCACATGGAAACTAAGAAGAACATAACCTTTAAATACAAAATATAGTCCGAAGAAATCACATATGGGACGCTGCGTGTCTCATTAGTTTCAAAAAATTAGGGAAAATATTAATTCTAAAAATTAGGGAAAACAAAGATAGAAAAATAGAGAAATTGAGTGAGAGAGAGGACCATACCTGAAAATAGAAAAATAGAGGAATCGAATAAACAAAGTGCACCTTCTTGCTCATGCAATATGGAAAGCAATGTGCTTCTTAAGCAAACCAAGTACAAAAGCAAACCGAAAGATCATTAAACATGATAACAACTTCATCAACCATAAGAGATATGGGAACGAATATCATCACTTTCTCCTTTAATAAAGTTAATTAATCCAATGAAAAGTTACTAATAACTACACTCTAATAATTTTCTCTCATGAAATAAGCAAAGAATAAAACATGGAGTGACAAATGATTCTTCTGTTACAATATATTGGTTTTCTAATAGCTTGAGATTCTGTAAAGACCTTCAAAATAAGATGTTCGAGCTGCTTAAGCCCACTCCCATCTTCTGAGACAAACTACTACCATTAACTGCAGCTAATCTTCAAGTTTAAACATATTATTATGCTAACGATCAACTAATCCCTTTGTCAGTTTAACCAAAAGGCCATTTCTTAAGGAGAGGATGGTCCAAAAGTCAGAGTAATGGAACACTTGCCTCGGCAAGTCTATACAATTGATATGTTAATGATTATTTTGTTATTCATATGCAAAAATGCATATAATTTTAACTATAGGAGTGGTCAAACTTATGATTAATGGGCTAAACAATGAGTGTACCATATACAGCCCAATTTAGCAAACAAAGAAAAACTAAGTACCAAGCCTACACCCACATCAAAGCTATACAACAGCACTCCACAATAAGCATGCTTCCATTCAAGATGCTATAACCCATCACAATCCTTAATAGATTTCAATCTATACACCAAGTCCATAACAAAGTAATCAACTTTGGTCAACTCACTTAACTCCAATCAATTAAGTTGAGCCTTCCAAGCTCTGCAAGTATGATGGATATTGGATAGACAAACACTTGAAAAAAAAAATGTTCAACTAATTAATTTAGTAGCAATTGAAGAAATTCTTCAATGACCATATAAAACACAAATAATGAAACATACAAATTTGTGTACTACTTCATGAAATCAAGCATAAATAAAACTGCTTATTAAAAAAATAATGAAAACATAAAACTATTACACAACTTTGAAAATGAAAACAATACTATGATATGCAAAATTTTAGGTTATATGCAAGTTACTCTATAAAACCCATTTGTGGGAGTAACAGTTACAATTTGCGTTGTAAACTCATTTGGGGGAGTAATAATTTTAGAATTTTGCAACTAATAATTTCACTTTGCTTTTCATTGAGTGACCCAAATTGATCGTAAATCTTCCAAAAATAAATTAATCAAAAATTTTTTATAATGAAAACAAAATCATGAAACCCCTGAATGAAAAGGGCAAGAGGAAAAAAAAAACTAGTTCCACAGATATTGGGACAAAAATTTCACAGGAATTAATTGCAATTTTTTTATAATGAAATGATGAAACCCCTAAATCAAAAACATAAAATCACAAATCACCACAAATTGACAAATATGTGTGTGTGTGTATACACAAACAGTAACAGTGAATTCAATCAAGTTTAGTGAATGTAATAAAAGATAAAGAAGAGATGTAGAACAAAAATGAAGGTGAAAAGAAGAAATTAATAGAGTAAATTACGCGAACACATATATAAACCATGAAACAAAGGAGAGATCTTTTACTTGAGGGAGTCGAATTTGGAGATTAAGAGCAAATTTGGAGATCACAGAGGGTCGTCGATCAAGAGCATCAGATTCAAGCCTTGAAGATCAAAAATAAAAATAAATAAATAAAGTGAGAGAGAGAGAGATAGAGAGAGAAGAGAATACATAATGTTAGGGTTTACGCGTTCAACAACTTGCTCAGCAAATTCGAGCTCTCTGGAATCCCTGGTTCCTCATATTATAGTGTGCCTCGACATTGATGCTCTGCAGATTCGTGCTCTTGCCGGTGGAGGAGTCGGAATGGGAGTGAGATGAGTAGTGCGAAGATGGAGAGAGAGAGAGAGAGAGAGAGAGAGATTTGAGTGTGAAAATGAGAGACGAGGGAAAAAGAAATTCTAGGCGCCAAAGGGTTTGAGGAATTTTGGAAAATTTGGTATTTTGGGTCAACTATTTCTGAGAAATGAAAAAAAAAAAAAAAAAAAAAAAAAAAAAAAAAAAAAAAACAAGGGATTCATTCAAAATGAAGTAGTACTGACAAATAAATTATTAGTGACCAAAATAATTCGGTTTCCATACATGTAGCCACGTTTTTGCAACTAAATAGTTGTTGTTGCCAAAAAGTTACCTTTGGTGACTAAAATTTTAGTTGTCATATATTAATATCGTCTCAAAAACTTTTCTCATGTTCTCGCGTAAAAATTTCGCCTCGCACCAAATCCAACCACAACCAACCATATTAACTAGTCACCAATTGTTTAGTTTTTGGAGACCAATCAATATATGGTTGCCGATTATGTATATTTAGCAACTAATTTATATTATGTTGCCAAAAATAGTCGCCAAAATGTTTTTTTTGTTAAAGTGAGCCAACTTGTGTTTTGTTTTCTAGTTAAAAAAAAAACAAAACAAAACAAACTTGTGTTTTGTTTTGAGAGAGAGAGAGAGAGAGATTAGGGAAAACTGATAAACACAGAGGGGAATTAGTAGTCAATTTTTTTTTTCATTATCGCCCAATATATCAAAATTCTCCCTCCAAAATTAGTGACAAAATAATTTCCTCACCAAAAGGTCTCAAAATATTAAAAATTATTAGTTCGAAAATATATTTCTCATCAAATGATTTTAAAATATTTAAAATTGTGTTTTTTCATTAAAAAAATTATGTAAAATTATTGGTAACGAAAATATATTCCTCACTAATAATTTTATAATTGGTGACAGATTTTTTTCTCACCAAAAGTCTCAAAATTTTGGCGCCGCCAAAAAAAATTAGTGGGAAAGCCTTCAGTGACAAAACTTAATTTTTCCTCACCTAAAAAGAAATATTTATTGACGAAAATAAATTCCGTCACCTATTATTTTTATTTTTTATTATATGTGACAAAATTTTATAATTCGTCATGGATTATTTTTGTTTAGTGACGAAATTTATTTTCTTTACTACTTTTCGTCACTATAGATTATTTTTGTTGTAGTATCAGATAAAGTGAATCTTATACTCTCATCCCATTTAATATTATAGTATTATGCATGTTTCAATTCAATAGGGTTTAAATTTTAAAAGTTTTAATTAATTAATTATGACCTAACCGATTAGGCTAAATCATATTTGATTTGATTGATTTGTTGGTTTAACTGCGATTTTAGAAGTTTTATCAAAATATATTGATTATATTTGTTTGATTCGAAGTAAACTAAAGATTGAGCTGATTAAAGATTGAAAAACTGAGATTACTTGATTAGCAATAAACTTTCCGTTCAAATAATTGTTAACTTTTATTTTATAATCCCACATTGGAAAAATAAAAGAAAAAAAAAATGAGTTGTTTCACTTATATAAAGTAAATCTTAATAGTGTAGTATTGTGTATACTTCAATACAAGACAATTTAGATTTTAAAATCAAAATAACATTTAAAAGTTTTAATCAATTAATTTTTGTATAAGTTGGTTAGTCATTTGACCTAACCGATTAGGCTGAACCATTTTGGGTTTGATTGATTCACCAGTTTAATTGTGATTTCTCATATTGATTTTATTAATTTTAAACAATTAAAAAAATTTCCATTGGTTAATTTGCATTTAACCATATAAAAATAAAACTCTAATTAGTTTATGATTTATTTAATAATCCCACATCGGGAGAAGGAAAAAAAAGGAAAAAAAAAAAAAAAAAAAGCAAAGTTTCTTTCACTATCTATCTATCTATAAATTATATAAAGAAAATGATGTTTTTAGGAAAAAGCCTTCTAGGAGCTCCAATCACTTATTCTAAAATTATTGAATTTTCTTAATTTTAAACAATTAAGAAAATTCATGTTTGCTAGCTTCTATTTACCTTTTATTTTACAATCCCATGTCAGAAAAAGAAAGAAAAAGTGAATTGTTTCACTTATATAAAGTAAATCTTATGCTCCTATTTATAAAAGAAAAATGAGATTTTTAGTGAGAAACCCTATGATCAATAGCTCATATTCATTTTTTTGATTTTCTTAATTTTAAACAATTAAGAAAATCTCTATTGGCTAGTTTCCATTTAACTTTCTTTTTACAATCCCATATAGTTTTGATTTTAAAAATAATTTTGTATGATAATTTGAAACTCTCATAATATTTAACTTTAAAATAATTACAATCTCATATCGAGAAAAGAAAGAAAAAGTGAGTTATTTCACTTATATAAAGTGTTACAATCCCATATCGAGAAAAGAAAGAAAAAGTGAATTGTTTCACTTATATAAAATGAATGCTATAAAAGGAGTTTTAAGGTAAAAGCCTTCTAGAAGCTTTAAACCTTTATTCTAAAATTATTGAATTTTTTTAATTTTAAATAATTAAGAAAATTCTCATTGGCTAGCTTCCATTCACCTTTTATTTTACAATCCAAAAAAAAAAAGTGAATTGTTTCATTTACATAAATTGAATCTTATGGTCCAATTTATATAAATTATTGAAATTTTTTAATTTGAAACAATTAAGAAAATCCAAATTGGTTAGTTCCTATTTAACTTTTATTTTACAATCTCACATCGGGAAAAGAAGAAAAAAAATGAATTGCTTCACTTCTATAAAGTGAATCTTATGCTCTCATTTATATAAGCAAAAGAAAATTTTTAGTGAAAAGCCTTGTAATCGATACCAATTTTTTTTCTTCTTAATTTTAAACAATTAAGAAAATCTCCATTGGTTAGTTTCTATTTAACTTTTATTTTACAATCCCACATAAACGTTTTGATTTTAAAAATTATTTTGTATGACATTTTGAAACTTTCATAATATTTAACTTTAAGATAATTACAATTCTACATTGAGAAAGAAATAAAAAGTGAGTTGTTTCACTTATATAAAGTGAATCTTATACTCTCATTTAATATTATATTATTGTGCATGTTTGAGTTCAAGAAAGTTTTAATTTTATAATAAAATTTAAAGGTTTTAATTAATTAATTTTGTTGCAAATTGGTTAGTCTTTTGACTTAGCCGATTAGGCTGAATCATTTTTGGTTTGACTAATTTATTGATTTAACCAGAGTTTTAGCTGTTTTATCAAAATATATTGCTTAGATTTGTTTGATTTCAAATAAACTAAGATTGACCTTATTAAAAATTGAATGACTGAGATTACTTAATTAGAAATGAACTTCCTGTCTAAACAACTGTTAAGTTTTATTTTACAATCTCATATCAAGAAAATGAGGGAAAAAATGAGTTTTTTTACTATAAAAACCTTATGCTCCCATTTAATATTGTAATATTGTGTATGTTTTAGCTCAAGATAGTTTATATTTTAAAATTAAAATAAAACTTAAAAGTTTTAATTAATGAATTTTTGTATAAGTTGGTTGGTCGTTTGACCTAGCCGAGTGAACCATTTTCGATTTGACTAATTCGCTGGTTTAATTGTAATTTTAGTGGTTTTATCAAAATATATTGTTTTAATTTGTTTGATTCGCAATAAATTAAAGATTGACCTAATTAAATAATAAACAACTAAGATTCCTTGATTTGAAATAAATTTCCTACCCAAACAATTGTTGACTTTTAAACAATTAAGAAAATCTTCATTGGCTAGCTTTCATTTAACTTTAATTTTATAATCTCATATCGAGAAAAAAAAGGAAAAAGTGAATTGTTTTACTTACATAAAGTAAATCTTTTATACTCCCATTTATATAACCAAAATAAAATTTTTAGTGAGAAGTCTTATGATCAATGTTACATACTATTTTTTTTATTTTCTTAATTTTAAACAATTAAAAAAATTCCGATTGGCTAACTTCCATTTAATTTTTATTTTACAAAATATAAAAAAAATTAAATATAATTATTATATTTTTATTAAATAATATATTATTTTATTGCATTCATAGTACGGGTGATATGCTAGTAGTAAATAAATAAAAGTCTCACACTAGTTAACTTCTTGATTTCAGTATTAAATCATTCTTACCCTCTCATGAGGAATTGATTTAGGAGAAAAATGTTAATTAATTACACCTATTGTTCTTCTGTTCGCAACTAAGAAGGACGGTGCAACGGAATAATATGGATTTGTTTTCCCAGAAGATACCAATGCTCTGAACACTGTATCAAGGCAAACAAAATGAACTGAAATTTATGAAATAATTTCACACTTTTCCCTCATTTTCTCGTTATTTTTTCTATGATTTCTTTTTCCCTCCCCTTTTCTTCACAATCCATGATTCAATTTTTCTTCAAGAAAAATCGTTAATTCTCCTATATGAAGAGAGGCACACAATACAAATGATGTTTATATTGGTCTTGTCCAATTACAACTGGTCCATTTTTCATCTGTCTGATCTAAATCGATATTTGCAATCGACACTCAAATTAATTAGATGAAAACCCGGATGATCCATTTATGAGGGATCAGGGGCTGTTGATTTTGTGATTGGGCAACGAATGCTTCCTATTATCCGCTATGATAAAGAGAAACAAAGAAACTGCGTGAGGTTGAGAAACATCATAACAGAACCATTAGAAAAACATTTACTTTGACATTAGATTGTGTTGTCGGCAACAAAATCATTTACTTATTATGTCTTGAAAATATGTATCAGAGTAATTGGTAATTTCTCCTCTTCTTCCATTACAAATGCTAAAAAGTAGATGATTATAAGATTAAAATTTTACTTTTTTGTTTGCACTTTCTAATCGAATTTGAAGCCTGTGTTGTAATGTACAAAATTTAAAAGGAAAAGAGAATGTATAAAATTTGGAGAAAAACACATGAAAAAAAAAAAGTAGTAGTTATATTTTTTATTAAATTAATGAGTACCAAGAATTTTTTTAATTTGTTTTTAATAAGTAATCCAACATAATTGATAAGGTAGAAATCAAAGATTAACTTCGGCTTATTTTTGCAAGCTGGTTAAAAGTCAAATTTTTGACTTTTTGATTTTTTTTAATTCACATCACATCTCTATTTTTTTTTTTTTTAAAAAAAATCCATAAAATTAATTTTTAGCCTACTTCCCAAAGCACCAAGTATCCCACTAATAAATGTGAAAAATCTAGAAATCTCCTAGATGTTGATTTGTGATTATGTATCAATTTTAAGCAGTATAGCAATCTCAATCAAACAATCAAGACAAAGAGACACAACGATTTAACGTGGAAAAAACCACAATTGGACACCTCCAACTGTGATAAAAAAATCACAGGCAACAGCCACAAAACAATCCACTAAGAAGATTTAAAGGAATTACACAGGTATACTCTCAATTACCTAGCGAATCCACGCCTAATTGAACCAACCTCTATGTGCCTCTTCCAACCCATCTTTACCTCGGAATTGTCTTTACGATGAGCCACCCCGGAATCCACAAAAGCTTCAGGCTCGAATTCTTCAGAATCCACCGAAGAACAACTCTCTCTTTTGTAGAACAAAACACAACCTTTGATGTACTCTCTTTAAACCATGAGTTGAATACTCAATAAAACATCAAAGAAACTAGCAAAATATCTCCAGATATAAACCTTAAGATCCAAAAATAAGATCTGGAAAAGTCCCTCTAGTGTTAGGAGAAAACCAACTATTTATAGAAAACCAAAGCAATCCTAGTTTTAGAAGAAAACCAACTCCTTAACAAATCTGGAAATCTGGGATCGCGCGGTCCGCTCGAGCATGGGTCTTCCCGCTCGAGCGGAGACTTCAAATTCTGTGATTTCATACAGGCTCCACGCTCGAGCGTCGGTTTTGACGCTCGAGCGTCTAATCACACCATCCAGTACTTTTTCAGGCATAGCAGATATACTGTGAGCTTGTAAACCCCGCTCGAGCGCCCTTTTCCCCGCTCGAGCGGGAAGGTCAAAACTGGAAAAACTGAAAAAATATAACATGATCGGACAGGCAACTTTGAATGCATTTTTGCATTTTGCTTCGGGCCGCGCGCTGACCGGGCAGCTCGACCCCCGTAAAAATCAGCGAAGTGGCAAACTTGTATACATTGACATCACAAACTTCTCTGCAAAGCACGATTCGGGTTGGATTCGCCTCTAACAACTCATAGCCTCACTGAAATATAAATGCGAATAAAATTACAACTCAATGAAGTTTTGTCAAACGGAATTGCCAAGAAATAAAACCTAACAAAATGTAATGCCCATATTCAAGTATTATCATTGCATAATTCAGAGCTTTCTATACTCCTTCTTTCCTCCCAAAATTGTGTTAAAAAAATAATTTGTTCAAATTCAAATGATTATATAAATAAATTAAACTTAAACACATTAAAAACTATTAATTTTGTTTTAAACTACCTTATTGGACTTGCAAATTGCAATGAGACCAAAATGATTGAGATGTCTAAAAAGAGAGCTCTAAAGGAACTCTAAATAGGTGGGGCCCATCTGTGATATGATGTGGGTGCCCGTGTGTGTGTTTTTTTTCCCTTGCCACGTGTAAAGCTCTCTTCAGAATTCTATTACAAATTAAGATCAATGAAATATTTTACAAAAAAAAATATTTTTTTTGTAAAATATATATATTACAAAGCTTAAAAGTTAAAAATAATTTACATGTATTCCGTACATTACACAGTCAACTCAACTGCTAATATTATCATACAATTCAATTTATTTTTACATAATTTCCACATATTAAATGTCAATAGACTTTATACAAATACTACCCTTAACCAGTGTTCATTTGCGCGGCAGATAAAATTCCTCTAGGAATGAACCAAAGGTTGTTGGGTATTGGGGATTCAAATCCACTCATCTATCACAAACTATTTTGGTTTTGGTTTTCTTGTTCTCTTTCGTTTTAGAATAAATTTTCAAATAGGTGAGCAAAAACATACTCACTCCAAATTATATCCTCATTTTAATTCCGGTGGCGTCCTTCCTCGAGCAGTATCTTGGGACCTCTCTAAATACCAGAAAAACAAGTAGACTACAACATACATAACAAACTACCCCAGGGAAGGGATGGGGTGCGCTATTTCTTACAAACATGGTGGAACTTTTTAATAAGAGTATCTCTATAAAATTGAACCTTAAACACCCAACCTTTGTTCAGCAGAAAAACAAGTACAACATACATGACAAAGTACCCCACGGAGCTATTTCTTATAAACACAGTGAAACTTAATAACAGTATCTCTAAGAAATTGAACCCGGAACACCCAACCTTGGTTCAGCGGAAACACTAGTAGAGTACAACATTACCCCAAGGAGCTATTTCTTACATAGTGGAACTTAATAACATTTCTGAAAGAGTACAACAAACATGACAAAGTACTCCAGGGAGCTATTTCAAAGTATCCTAGGGAGCTATTTCTTACGAACACAGAGGAACTTAATAACATTATCTCTAAAATATTGAATCCCAAACACCCAACCTTGGTTCAGCATGAACAAAAATTACACAGGCAGTCAGTGATGCTCATGCTGACTTTCAGCCGGCATTGCCATTCCTCAATTCATCCATTACGCTTCTAAATTTCGCAAAAATGTTGATGTAGGCTTACACAGGCAGTCGAAAAGGCTCATCCTGACTTTCATTTGCATTGTCATTCCTCAATTTATTCATTACGCTTCTAAATTCCGCAACAATTTCGACAAAATCATCTCTGATCTCATCATAGAAGCGATATAGAACAATTCCAGAAACACAGACCCATATGCCCAAAGCCAACCACCCGATGACTGGGACAATGATCAATATTGGCAAAATAACAGCAAGTACACCCGAGAACAAGCTTAATTTGTTCACTATCATATGATCTCTTCCGGTGGTTCGGAGAAATAATTCAGCCAACAATGATGAAAAATAGATCACAATAGTAACAACGAATGCTACCGCCTTTGGATAATGTGTTTCAAATGGTTGATACATTGTTTGGAGGATGCTACCCAACAATGTAATGAAAACCCAAAAAATTTTGTGGAATTCATCATAAGAATTAGCTGCCACCTCCCTACAAACCATCACAAGAGAATGAAATGAGCATTAGAATACAAAATTAAGGGTTAAGTGCAATACAACTGAATTCACAGGGGTGGCACCCAATGGACACAGAAAAGGGCAAACAAGGTAGTAGGTAAGGTAAAGGGGTGGCAAATGCAATGCCAATTCAGACACAGGAACCCAACCAAATCTGCTACCAGTTAGTGGTTTAGGTTTGGTTTACCTATTTTTACATGCAACTCGTATTTGGAAAACTTGATGCTTAAAAGGAGGTCTGTGTGCAGTCCTAGCCAGCATAGGGCAACAAATAGATTCAAAAGAAATAAATAAAAATTAATTTATTAATTAATTAACACTTAGGCAAATTAAGGCTTGAAGTTAAAAGAAGATACTTTATCACTCGAGTCTCCTAAGGGGGCACCCCAACAGCTTAGGATACATTTTCCCAATAAAACACTCAATTTTGAGTCTACATGAATTACACATCAAAAAAGATACTTAAACCACTCGACCAATAAGCACATGATGTTAATTTAAGCATATGAGTTTATTTTACATCATGTAAATTTAAGCATATACACATTTATTTCACATATATAAATATATCCTCCATATATTATTAAATATATAAACTTACATACATATCATGTATAAACATAATGTATGGGCCAGAATCAACTATACTTGATATAGAGTTTTTAGTCTTACATCCATTCATAACATCTTAGTGGATCTAAACTTCACAAACTACGATTTAAGTATTTCTTCCATAGAAACTAATGTATGGGCCAGAATCAACTATACTTGATATAGAGTTTTTAGTCTTACATCCATTCATAACATCTTAGTGGATCTAAACTTCACAAACTACGATTTAAGTATTTCTTCCATAGAAACTGCACGTGAAAATTTCAAGTTGAACAGAAATAGATAGAGCTCTCATCTACAAAGCCCTCCTATCAGAGTTGTATTATGTGAAGAAATGCGGACATAACTATAAGATAGCTATTAAATTCTTAATCCTTGACAGGCTAGAAATTTAAAATATGGTTATATATTATGGCTATGAAAAGAGTATAAAAGAGTATAAAATTCAACAGTCAATTTTTGAGAAAAGCAAATCTAACGAAAAGGATGTGAAAGAGTTATAACATAATTTTACACACATTTCTACATATACACATTCATGGAGGCACACTGACATTCCTTTTAGCTAAGTTGAGTTTTTTCTTTTAGTTTCTTCTTCTCTTTTCTTACTTTCTTTCCTTTTTATTTGTTTTCTTTGAATATTTATATAGGCAATGCTCAACTATGACCCATTTAACTAACACAAATTATATTACCTGATGGTCCCTTAAACTCAGATCCTGTGCCCCTTTGATAGTCTACCGCAAAATTGAGCATATGCAAGTCACATGCAAATTTATAAACTGAATTGACAATCTTACCCATCCATCTCTCTTCCTCTTCTAAATATACAGTTTGTTTTCTAAATATTTTTTGTATTTGATAGAGGGGAATGCATGCATGTATCTACATATTCACATGTATAACACAAATTGAGATAGTGAATGACCAGAAGTCATACAAACATGTAACATCCCTATATATTTTGCGGTATAATCAAGGTTTCAAAAAACAATTGCGGTCGCCGTAACAATTGCGGTGGCGCGATATCAATGCCGTAACATAACGGTTACAGTAACCGAAACTGTGATTTTTTTTATTTTTCGCACAATTTAAAGAAAACTTACCGTTGCGCATTTTTTTTTTTCTTTTTAGAATCACATTTATTAAGATTTTAAATAGATTTTGATCAATTTTTGTTAATTTTTAAATATGATCCAATATATTCATATTTTCACATCAATATAAAAAAGAGCTTTTTACATTTTATTTTAATAGTTAATGATTTATTTTAATACTTAATGACTTTAAGAATAACTGATTTTAAATGTCTACAAATTATTTTTGACCAATACATGAACTAATTGAATAAAAAATATTCACAATTATTAAATAAAATGATTATAAAAATAAAAATTATGCCATAAACAAAAATTATTTTTGAGGCATTTTTTTAGACAACACTTTACAAGTAACTAAATAAAATTATTTACAATTAAGTATTGAATGAAATGATTATAAAAATAAAATTTGTGCCATAAACAAAAAATATTTTTGAGTCTTTTAAAAACATTTTTTAGATAACACATTACAGTAACAAAATAATAAATATATTTATAATTAAATATTAAGGCCATTTTTGGGGTAATCTAAAAAAGCCAAAAAAGTTAAAAAAGTCGCTATCCTATTTAAGTCACATCACCTCTCTACCGCATCACTTCAAACCCAATCCATATCTACTTCATATTTCATAAAAAGTCAAAAAGTGCACTTAATTAGATCATCCCAAACCACCCATAAATAAAATGAATATAAAAATAATACAAAACTATTGATTATATATTTTTTATTTTACATGCTAATGTAATGAAAAAAAAATTATAAAGAAAATAAATTCATATAAAAGAAATTTCTTTGGACTTGGATTATTTGAGTATTCGTTCTTCTTTTGTAAGCTTTTATTTATTTTATTTTTTTGGGAAATGATGTTATTCAGAATATTATAAAAAGGTGTAGCAGTGTGTGAAGGACCGTTACGGCCATTACGATACCGTTACGCAACACCGAAACAATTGTTACACATGAATTTCCGCCACACAGTTGTAGTGGCTGTAATAAGTGACGGCAACCACGGCAACCACCACAACCACTACGTAACAACGTTACATAACGATTGCAATCACTTTTAAAACCTTAGGTATAATTGATTAGGCGGTAGAAAGCTTGATTATCCCAATAACATCCATTTAGAACAAATTGCATAAATAAATGAAATGAAACATTCATTACCATTTACTATGCCTTCCCATACCTTCCCAGCCTCAAACACAAAGAGTACAAGATAATATAGAGAAGAGAACAAACTTGTTCTTTCCAAAGCTAAACGTGTACAAAGATTTTGTGTACAAGATAATATAGAGAAGAGAACAAACTTGTTCTTTCCAAAGCTGAACGTGTACAAAGATCTCAAAAATCTAGCCCTTCCATTTAACATCCAGGCATACAAGCTTCTATATATTTGTATGCCTCTATATATAGATACACACATAGCTTTAAACACAAAATCATCATGTTTCATATCACTGGCACCTAAATTTATAGGGAAGAGAGATAATAAGCCAACCCCCAATAAACAAAGATATAGCAAAGCTATTCTAGGGCAAGGATATCTCCAATTTGAATAATCGTAAGTCTACGAAAATCTTAGAAGCTTAATTTGCATTTTAAGCATAACATATTTACTGCATTTCCATTGCCAAACATAGTGATAAGTCCCATCAGTGCGTATCATAACATATCAAAACATGACCATGTTGACTAAGATTTTGTTAGAACCACAAACTAGTGGTGGTAGATCCCATCATAACAAATTAGTATATTTTGCATCCCCTAATAGCCACTAGGACCATTGTTGTCAAATCAGGATACGAATTGTGTATCATTTTTTTATCTTTCTAAATCACATAGCATATTGTGAGTGTTTTGGAAATACGATTGAAAGCTGACTTTTTATCTTTTTTTCACTGTTTCATGTGAGAGGTGACATAACTCAAAATGAGTTAAAAGCTTACTTTTGGCTTTTTGGCTTAAGCTGCTTTTTGGCTTAAGCTTTTCTCAAATTAAAGTTATAAAGCATGGATATTTAAACAAACATATCATACCCATCCTGGGTCCTGGGCATAGTACTTTTGCATATGCATCTAGGAATGGCAATGGGGGGTAATGGGGTGGATATTAATTCTCCATCCCCATTCCCCTATAATAATTTTTCCCCATCCTCCATTCCCCATGGGTACCACCTTTCCCATTTTTTAATGGGTATGAATTTTTCCCAACCCACTTTAATCCCCATTTTTATTTTTTATATTTAATGTCAACAACCACTTTTTTTTTTTTTTTTAAAGGTTTACAACAAAAACTAAATATACCTTTAATCTTTTTTCTTTCTTTTTCAATATATTTAACGTTAACAATTTTTTTTTTTTAAGGTTCATAACAAAAGTTAAATATACCTTCAATCTTTTTTCTTTCTATTTAAATATATTTAATGTCAACAATTTTTTTTTTTTAAGGTTCGCAACAAAAATTAAATATACCTTCAATCTTTTTTCTTTTTTTTTTAATATATTTAATGTTAACAATTTTTTTTTTTTAAGGTTCATAACAAAAGTTAAATATACTTTCAATTTTTTTTCTTTCTATTTTAATATATTTAATGTCAACAAATTTTTTTTTTTTAAGGTTCGCAACAAAAATTAAATATACCTTCAATCTTTTTTCTTTCTATTTAAATATATTTAATGTCAACAATTTTTTTTTTTTAAGGTTCGCAACAAAAATTAAATATACCTTCAATCTTTTTTCTTTTTTTTTTAATATATTTAATGTTAACAATTTTTTTTTTTAAAGGTTCATTGGGAAACTTGAATTCATGATTTCTTAGCAAATTTTACTTGGTTTTTCCGGAATACAACAAGATTATGTGTCCACTTAGGCTTCGTTTGAAAACATATTTTTTTAGTAATTTTTTAATTTTTTCATTAAAATTTGATAAAAATAAATAAAATGTTTGGGATAATTTTTTTATTTGAAATCATACATTATGCGAGAAGTAGAGAGAAAAGAGAATCTTTGACTTTTTTGTATGGGTTGTTGGTTTTTTAGCTAATTTAGTGATTTTTTGACTTTTTAGCTAAAAAGGGCAAAAAAGCTAAAAAGTCACTAAATTAGCTAAAAAGTCAACAACTTTTTTTTTTTTTTTTTTTTTTTTTTTTTTGGTACAACAGAAACAAAAAACAAACAAAATGGCTACACCCTCTCCCTAAATAAACCTAACATATCACCCTCTCCCTATAAATAATTTTAAAATATGAGAGTTTAGAATGATTTGATATTTTGTTGTAATTGAACATATGTGTGTGAGAAAAAAATGATTCAGAATGAGAGAGGAGAGAGGAGAGAGAAAAGATGTTTGATTGATGTGTAGGAGAGATAGTAATTTTAGAAAAAAATTTCCAAAATCACTAAACCAATCAAAATTTTAGAAAATATTTTTCAAAATTACTCTCTCAAAAGCAAACCAACCATGACTGTCTCTGAAAGGTGTTGCTCATGTCTCACTAACTCCACACATTTATTTTTGAGATAAAATTTAAAGTTATTTTTTCATAATTCATAACATTTTTTTAATTAAAAATAGTAATACTTGATAACAATTTAAGCTTCATTTTCTCTTCCTCTGTATTTTGAAAGCTGCCCTTGTATTAATGTCAAATTTGAAGTTGACATTTTAGACATTAAACCATCTTTCTCTTAGCAAATTTGAACAATTCATTTTAATTTATCCAAAATCTAATTATACCTTTAACAAATCTGAACCACTCATTTTAAGATATCTATGCATTACCACACCTAATCCATCCTCCATCTTCTTCCTTTAGTCCCCTACGAATTTTGTTGTTTGTTACTTTTAAAAAACAAAAAATGTTTTTTCAATTAAATTTTTACTAATTTCACAACACCATCACCACTATTCTCACTTTCACTGTCACACTACCATCACCATAGCCACTACCATTATCACTGCCGCCATCACCCCACCACTATGTAACAATTTCTACTTTCACCTTCGTTCCACCACCACCACCACCACCAAATATAAAAAAAATATATTTTGAATTTTTTTTATAAAAAATATTTTTCATTAAAAAATATTTTCTATCTAAATAAATGAAGCATAACATTGGGAAACAAGCTGATTTCAGTTAAATCTGTTCATAAATAAGAAAAAAAATTTTATTTTAAAAAAAATTATTTAGTAAGACTTTGTATCCCCTTTTTGTTTTTCCAGTAAATAAATCTTTGTACCCATCCTTTCTAACCAATCACGACTCATGCTTGTTTCGATTCTCTACAATTTCCTTATTTTCAAATATATATATATATATATATGTTGTATAAATTGTGTGATAACATAAAACAAATAGATTCATACTCGTTAATTGAAATTTCAGAACAAGCAAACCATTCTGAAAATTACAATACACAACAAAATAAAATAACATAGAAAAGCAAACCGAAACCTACACTAGACAATGTCCTTAATTTTTTTTAAATAAATTTAAAAAATTCTAGATATGCATAAAATTTGACAAGAATAATGTGACAATGTTAATTAATGTGTATTTGATTTTATTGTTGAGCCAAATAAAATAAAATAAGATTGAATGTATAGCTTTGGTTGTGAATCTTTAAAAAAAAAAAAATGGTTGTGAACCTTAAAAAAAAAAAAATTTAAAAAAATAAATTAAATATATATTTAGCTTTGGTTGTGAATCTTAAAAAAAAAAAAAAAAAAAAAAAATTGGTTGTAAACCTTAAAAAAAAATTAAATATATATTTAGCTTTGGTTATAAATCTTAAAAATAAAAAATAAAAAAAAATTGGTTGTGAACCTTAAAAAAAAAAAAAAAATTAAATATATATTTAGTTTTGGTTGTGAATCTTAAAAATTAAAAAAAAATGGTTATGAACCTTAAAAATAAAAAATAAAAAAAGATTGGAGATATATTTAGCTTTGGTTGTAGATCTTAAAAAAAATAAATAAGCCTCCGTTTGGGAAGTGGGTTGGTTTTTTGACTTTTTGACTTTTTTGGCTATTTTAGCCTGGGCTAAAAAGCTTGGTTTGGGAAGGGCTTTTTGGCTTTTTGACTTTTTTGGCTTTTTTTGTGAGAGAAGAATGTAATGATTATGGGTTGGATGTGATGTTTTGTTTGTTATGGCTAAAATAGCCTATTTTGTTTTTTGTGGCTAAAATAGCCAAAAAAGCCTAAAAACCATCTTGCCAAACAGAGGCTAAATAAATAAATAAATAAAATAAAATTGATTGTGAACTTAAAAAAATAAATAAATAAATAAAAGAAAAAAATTGAATATATATTTAATTTTGGTTGTGAATCTTAAAAAAAAAAAAAATAAATAAATAAATTAGTAAGTACCCATCGCCAACCCATCTTCTGTGAATATTTAAAAAATATCACTTATCCTACCCAATGGATAAGAAAAAAAGAGAAAAATCCATGTATTTGAGTTAGATATTATCCATTGCCATCCCTATATGCACCATACCCCAGAAGTACCTAGTGCACTAGAGTGGTGTGGTAGCCAGTAGCCATGAGCTAGTGGACCAGTGGTGACGTGCTTGGTATAGCAGTGCAGTGGTCATATATGGTAGTATGGCTTGGTGCCATTCAAGGCATCGATAGCTAGAGAGGGATGGAAATTCTCAAAAGTTATGGAAATTGATTTTCTGTAAATTAGTAATTACAATTAGAATCCAAAATTAGCTATGTAAATCGGACTTAAGAGAGTTGATTGAACTAACCTTTGATCCTGGGCGTTCGGCATTTTCAATCCGCCCAAAATTCCACGATCGTCCCAGAGACCAGAGATATGCAACCAGATTCACAGTCCCGGCGGGGAGAGATCACAGATCTTAAAACACAATTCCCAGAACCAAAGTCCCAGAGAGGCGAGATCACAGGTCTGAACCAAAATGTACCATGTTGGGGTACCAAAATGTACCATGATGTTGGGGTTGGGGGTGAACTGTATTTGTACCCAAAAAAAAAATTAATATCCTATTAAATTATTTACAATTATAATTTATTCTCAATTCACTCTGTCCCACACTCTATACCGTATGTTTTTCTTACCTCAAAATACATACACTCTACCCCACACTCTACACCGTATGTTTTTCTTAAATTACCTTTCTAAATACATCCAAATAATAAACAAATCAAATACTTTAAATTATAACTTCAAAAAATCTTTTTAAAAATTCTCAGATAGATTTCTCACAACTATTTCTTCTATACACATACAGATTTCTCTATCAATTAAACCCAACTCTAATTTTTTTTGAAAAACATATATAAAACAGTTATTTTATTGATATGTGAAAATGATTTTTTTAAAAGTGTCACCATGCCAAGTACCCATTTGAGAAGATCATTGATGAGTTGCCCAATTCTCTCTCTTTTTTTCTGAATGATGCCTAGTTCCTCTCGTCTCTCAAATCTCTCCTTATATATCTCAGTACAATATCTATAGCTAAGTTTCTTATAATTTTGGTTTATCTTAGCCTCGAATCCTTATTTTAATTTTTCCCATCCAAATGCAATTTTTGAAGATTTTTTTTCTTTTATCAAAATAATACCCTAACCACAAAAATTAATAATTATAATTTAATATTTATGTGAATGCTTATATCATCTTTGATGGGTTATTTCAAAAAATAATTTTGATTATTATTCTTATTCAATTCTTTTTGTTTTTTATTTGCAATTTATTTGCAAGTAACAACACAATTTGACCATTCTAAACCATGCCCAGAAGGATCTTCAATACTGAGCCAGCTCACACAGCGGCACGCGTGTGAAACTTCCCACACACCAAACACCATCAAATCATTCCGGTGAGAAAAAGAAACTACACCGGAAAAAACTTCAAAAGGACAACAAGGGCTTCCTGTTTTAGCAAACTTGGGAGTCCCTGCAAATTCAATAGCATATCATCAAGTACAATCCACAAAAACTGCAGATTGGATATAACAGATTTAATCACGTTGAGTCTCCGCAAATTCCATAGAGAGCATATATATCATCAAACACAAGCCATAAAAACAAACAGATTCTAATAATACAAATTTCTATCAAATAAAAACCTAATTTTAGAGGTCGGACAGCAGATTCAACTCAGATCTGAAATGTTTTTGAGAGATTAGAGAGATTTGGAAATATTTTAGAGAGAGACTATCATCGGTAAAAGAGTTAGTGGTTGAGAATCATCACCATCATATGCAGATCTGAGATGCTTTGGTGAGATTAGTGAGAGAAAAGACATGTTCAACACAATCGCCAGCGGCGGCCGAAGAGGAATGAGATCCTGCGCGGTAAGAGAGGAAAAGAGCAAGAATCATCACCATCATATGTAGATCTGAGATGTTTCGGTGAGAGAAAAGCCAGATTCAACACAATCGCCAGCGCCGGCAGAAGACGGATGAGATCGGCGGTGTTTCTGACAAGTGCCATCGGAAACCGGCGGCGGTGAGCCATCGACATCAACACAAACAGCTCAGAGCATAGAAAAGATGGATGCGGGTTGGTTTTGGCTTTTCTGTGGGCTGGTTGGTTTTGGTTTTTCTGTGGGCGGAGTTTGAGTTTTGGTTTTGGTTTTTCTTTTTCTGTGAGCAAAGTCTGGTTTTTCTTTTTCTATGAGCAAAGTTTTGGCTTTGCTTGGTTTTCTATCTCAATATATAGCGTTTGAAAAAAAAAATTAAAAATTTTATTTAATTCAAAATTTTTTAAAAAAAAATTTAAAATTATTTTCTCTCTTTTACATATTAATCAATAACTTTTTATCTTTTCTCTTTCCTTCTCATTTACTTTTTCTTTCACATAAATTTACTTAACTATAACAACATATCAAATCATTACAAACTCCCAAATTTCAAAATTATTTTCAAAATATACAACTAAGAGTTAGTTTGGGAAGTGGGTTGACTTTTTGGCTTTTTTTAACTATTTTAGCCTGAGCTAAAAAGTTTGGTTTGGGAAGGGTTTTTGACTTTTTGACTTTTTTGACTTTTTTTGTAAGAGAATAGTGTAATGACTATGGGTTGGATGTGATGTTTTGTTTTTTGTGACTAAAATAGCCTATTTTGTCTTTTGTGGCTAAAATAGCCAAAAAAGCCCCTAACCCAACTTGCCAAACGGAGGCTAAACAAATCAAAAAAATTCTAAACTATATCCTCAAAAAAAATTAAAAAATTTATCTCAAAACAGAAACCAAGTACACCCTTAGCCTCCGTTTGGGAAGTAGGTTGACTTTTTGACTTTTTGGCTTCTTTAGCTATTTGAGCCTGGGCTCAAAAACTTGGTTTGGGAAGGGCTTTGTGGCTTTTTGGTTTTTTTGACTTTTTTTGTGAGAGAAGAGTATAATGATTATGGATTGGATGTGATGTTTTGTCTGTTGTGGCTCAAATAGTCTATTCTGTCTTTTGTGGCTCAAAGAGCCAAAATGAGCTCTTCCCAAACGACACCTTAGTTGTTTTATGAGCAAAGTCTTGGGTTGTGTTTGATTCTCTTTTACAATTATGATTTCAATCAAAAACATTTGAAATTTATAGTTAAACACATAATTCAAAATTAGGGATATCCGCGGTTTAGATTTGAATGGTTTGTGGATCGGTTTTGGACCCGCCTGCATTTATAAGGTTTGGAAAAAAAAAGTTAACCCACAACTACTCGCAGTGCGGTTTGTGCAGATAGGGTTTGCAGATGTACGAACGGTTTACGAATTGGACTTTTTCTTTAAAAATTTATTTTTGAGCCTTTTTTTTCAATCAAACAAAAACTGCAATGAAAGTTCATGTGGACAGGGTTCATAGAAAGCAAACAGAAACTCCAGTGAAAGTTCATGCCAATCAAGGGCAAAAAAAACACTAACTTCATACATATTATATAAACAAGTACAGAGAAATTTCATCACTTGACTCATAGATAAAGAAAGTGACAGAGATATTTGTGTTGTAAATAATATAATATTTCTCAAAAAGAAGAAAATAAAAAAAGAAAGAAGACTATTACATAGAAATTTCTTCAAAGTCAACCAAGATTAAGACTTGTGTTTGGATTTGTAATAGATGTGAGATGCTTATATGCACACAAAAATGGTCCATATATGATATGCATTTTATAATGAAAAATGCTATGGATTTCAAATAAATTATTAAATTTTTTACTAAACCTCTCACATGGGTATGAGACCCACACAAATCAACATGTATGTGGGTCCGACACCCATATGAGAGGTTTGATAGAAATTTTGATAATTCATTTAGGATCCCTAGCATAACTCTTTTATAACATCATCTTCACAAAGCATGTCTAACAAAGCATCATATTCATGAAACAATATTTCTTTTAAATACAAGAATACCCAAGAGCATGTCTCAACCCAAAAAAGGAGCTAAAGATCGATTCAAACTTACATGGCCAATGTCGATTGTTGAAGGTCACCGAGAGAGAGAGAGAAAGAGAGAGAGAAGGTCTTAGGTCAATCTTGCCAAAGAAGGTCACCGATCTTGCGAAGGTCATCGATCGTCGAAGGTCGATCAGTTGGCTTGCCACAGAGAGAGAGAGAGAGAGAGAGATGGAAGAGAGGCTGCGCAGATTAGGGTTTGGTGTTTTGTTTTGGGAAAAAAATCTAGATGGGATATAGGAATGAAATCAGCGGTTACAATTAAAAAAAAAAAAAGTCCAGGCGAGTTCTTGTGGGTGCGAGTTAAACCCGCAACCAGTCCACAACCGGCATACATGTCATATTCCAAACCGCATCTGCTCGCATTGTGTCTGCGAAACCGCCTATTTGTATGCGGGTTGGACGAGTTTTGCGAGTCGTATAGCGATCCCGGTTATCCCTTTACTGTTCTGTTAATTTCCGGATATGGTTCTGTGGAGTTTGATAGTTGTACCTATTGTGTTGTCAACCTTTAAACTCTTTTGTTTGAGTTTTAGGATGTGTTAGGCTCGGTTGTTTCAGGTTGGTTGAGCTTTAGCTCCCATTGTTGTTGCCCAGTTTTTGAATGGTCCGCTCGAGCGGGTCATATTGCGCTCGAGCGGGGTTTTCACAGTCTCAGTATTTCGTGCCTCTGCAAAACTTCTACAGAAGTGTTTTCAACGCTCGAGCTGGTGTCTTGTGCTCGAGCGGGTCGCGCTCGAGCGGGCTTGGTAGCGCTCGAGCGGGTGGTACCTTTTGGTGTAAGTTCTGGGAAGGGAAAATCTACGCTCGAGCGAACTGGTTTTCACGCTCGAGCGGATGTGCTTTATTCTTGTGTCTTGGCGCTCGAGCGGGAATATTTGAGCTCGAGCGGACCTAGTTTTTGTTCTTGACGCTTGAGCGTTGTGTTCTCCGCTCGAGCGGGAGGGTCGTATATCAGTTGTCAGCTAGGCTATTTTAAATTACTTTTTACATCCACACTCTCTCTCTTACTTTTCTAAAACCCATTTTTGAGAGCTCCTCTCTCTAGAATCTCCCTTCTCTCTAGGGTTTGATCCAGCTAGGGCGTTCTCCTTACCTTTGGTCTTTTTAAAAGTTGGGTTGATCGTCGAGGGCTATCTTTTGATCCGAAAATATTGAGCTTTGGAGCATGTTGAGTTTCTTCGTCTTCTCCGTTGAGAGCCATCTTTTGAGGTAGGGATATCCTACTATTCCTTATGGATTTTGTCTCTAAATTTTAGCATTTTGATGTGTTGGGTGTTGTTGGGTAGATTTGAGAAAGTTCGGGTCTTTTGTGTAATTTTACAAAAGTTGGGGTTTTGTTTGAAATAGACCTATAGGCAAGTTTGGCATAAAAGAAAATGAGTTGGATGATGGATCGTGAGTGAAAATGAAACTTTGGAGTTGTTTTGTTAATTGAAGTAATTTGCCCAAATTGTTTAATTAATTAATGTATATAATTGATTAAAGAAATTGAGGAATCGAAGTGGGAATGTTGAAATTAGGAATGTATGGGACTAAAGGGTGTAGTTAAATCATTCATTACTCACCTAATTGGAATGTTGATATATTATCCATTTGTGCATTTATTTCCTGTTTAGAAATAATTGCTTGGGGCTACCGGTGGAGGGTAGTGTTAATTGTTGTAGACAATGTACGATGATTAGGCAAACAAAAACTAATCAATTGGGTGTGTCATAGAGTATGACGAATGATAGAATACATTAACTTTATGTATTGATTGATTGTATATATAACCAATGTGTTTATATGCATTATGTGTAGACAGTTGATAGAATACATTAACTTTATGTATTGGTTGATTGCGTATGTGATTTTGTGTTTAAATGCATTACTTGTGTATGGGAGGAGATAGGGGATGTACTCCACGGTTTAGGGGAAGATGGGGGATGTACCTCTAAACCGGTTAATGGTTAATGGTTAAGGGAAGATAGGGGATGGACCCAGGGTTGCAGCTCATATGCTCTCCCATTGAAGTGTTGATACAGCTCATATGCTTGTCATTGAAATGTTGATACAGCTCATATGCTTGTCATTGAGTGTTGATATAGCTCATATGCTTATCTGTTGTAGTATTGATATAGCTCATATGCTTATCTGTTGAAAAGTTTGTCTGATTTGATATAGCACTAAAATGTATATCATCAACGTTTGTGAAGTATGGAAGTAGTTTATGTGTTATTGATACAACACCAAGATGTGTATCCACCGTGAACTTCGAAAGTGTCCTAGTGATGAACTATAATCTCATCAAAATGTTCTGGACAGAGCACTGAGCCTTGTTTTCAAACTCAAAGTTGAATAAGAAATGGAAGGTGAATTGTAACATAGACTTGGCTGTCATGGAATTGTAATAAGATGTAAATAGAAGTGTAAGTATCGACCATCTATCAGTTGCTAATCTCTTAGGCATTGTTTATAGTTGGTTTAGTATATCTCTGCTGGGCTGTGGCTCACCCTGTATGGGAATATCATTTTCAGGTACAGGTAGCATACCACCTCTAAGGACATAGCTTGGGAGGCTAGAGGCGGACGCACTTTTGTTGTCTTATTTCTTTTAGATGTACTACATGTAAATTCAAGCCAAGGGCTTAATGTGTAACTGAGTTAGTACTTTCTTTTGTAACCAAGTGTTAACTTGGAAAACTATAAGCCCGTAGGGCATTTGCTCTTGTTATTAACATGTAATACTTTTGTGATGAAGTACCCTGATGAATTGAAAATGTGGATCTTTTGTATATAAATGTTTGATCATTTTGATGGGTTTAATATTATTATTTTGAGGGCGTTACAAGTCGGATAAATCATTGCCCACCCCTACTCAAAACTCAATTTAAAAATTATTTTCAAAACTCATAATCAAGCACACAACTTGAGACTCTTTTCAAAATTCAAAATCAAACTCTTTTTAAAACTCTATTTTTCAAAAAAATATTTTTTATTTTGTTTTCAAAATTATTTTTAGAATCTTGATTTGAATGTGGAATCGTGTTTTGAGTTATGAGTTTTGAGTTGAGTTTTGAAAAGATAAATTTGTTTGGTTATAAGTTTTGAAAACAGTTTTGAGTTGTATTTTGAAATTTTTGATTTTTTTAACATTTAAAATATTTCTTAATTTTATTTTTTTAGGGTAAATATTTTATATTTTAAATTTTTATTTTTTTATTTTAATATGTACTATATTTCATACATTTGTGTGTTGTATTTTTTTTT